TTATGTTATGGTCATATATAAGAAGTATTGCAAACTTGTCAGATTTTGGCTCTTGGCATACACACTGATGCATCTGTCTCAAGTCCAACAGAACATTCCTTGCCACTCAGCAAGCTACTGGCATGGATAGTGCCCAAAGGATGAGTTCCTCCTAACAGAATACAGTATGCAGATTGAATAGATGGTCTTTCTCCAGAAAAACTTAGCTAAATAAGCTTTGATACATATTTTTCCCTTCTAAATTCTTTCTCTTCTGCACGGATTATAGGATTTTCCACAAGGTTAAAAAAATGGCTATGCTTGCTCTAAAAATTTAAGTCCACACTGGTATCCACTGTCAAAAACAGACTATTGAAATAACAAATGAGGTTCACTTCCTCAGAATGTGTAAATGTCCCAGCTTAGAGTTAAATTTTCAACAGCTGAAAGACAATACCATCGACACGTACCTGGCACTAGTTACTCGGGTTTATTTTTTCCTGGAAAGCAGTTTTGGGCGACAGAGTGGCGTCCGGGTTTCCCAGGTTGTTGTGCTGACAAACTGCAGTGGTGGTAAAGGCAGGGAGTCTGACAAAATCTCATTAATCATTTTAAATTAAATCCAACATTCCACTCCAACACTGCCAAGAAGAAAGCTAACTTTTACAAATGAATACTCTCTCTGAAAATAACTGGTATCCTGACCATATTGCTTTCACAAAAACATGCTTGATTTCTGTTAGGTACACATACGCTATTCTTAAGCTTAAAAAATGCATTTTTTTGATTGCTGGGAATCAGAAAAGTGCTTTTTGCTTATTTTCTCTAATAGGGTCTATGAGTGAACCACACAACTGAAAAGAGCGAGCCTCTTTTTTTCTTTCAATGAATTGAAGTTTTTTTGCTTTTCTAATATTTTAAGTACAGAAAGTTTGTTTTTGCAAGTAAATTTCACATAGGAAATGGAAGTATTCCACTTAAATATTTTCTCTAATAATTCTCTATTCCATTTAAAATATTTGCTAAATATTCATATTTATATGAATAAGAAAGGAAAACTGCAAATTTACTAACATTAATATTAGTAAAAACACTGAGGTGATAAAGAAGCAATGTGATCTCTTTTAGGTTTTTTACAGACACACTTCTGTAAAAACTCCTAGCTATTTGATTATGATTTAATCACACATGGCAAGTTTGAACATTAAATATCTCATAAATAATATTTGATTATCACATAAAATTTTATCTTACTAAAATCACTATTAAATGCAGATTATAAAAGTTTGTATTTCTCTTTCAAGGCAAAATGAAACCATAAAATGCCAATGTGAGACACAGGAATCTGTTCTTTGCCCACTTTAATAGTGCTTTTGAGCTAAGAGTGGGAGATTTTACAATGGCAGAGAACAAGTCATCAGCCTCAATGTTTATTAGTTTTACATCCACGAGATATTTTAAAAGGAAACAAAAATCCTAATTCAATAGAGGGCAAGTAAATCTGACTTTCCCAAATACTTATTATAATTTTGACATTTTAACATGATCAAGGAGGTATACCTCAATTTTGTTTAAGGGCTTAAAAGAATACCTGTTTTCTAAAAACAGAGCTATAAATAGTATCAGATTGCACAATGATATCTTTACACAGAGTACAAAAATATTACCACCTCGAGACTGAACAATTCCTTGTTGATAAACTTGTTTATGTTAAGAACATTAATAAACTGCAGAATACTGAAGAAGAAATAGTAACATTTATTTGTCCAGCTACTCAGTTAATTTTCTTAAAGCTGTATTTTGAAACTGTTTACATTTTTTCTTTTTCCAGTGTGGGGGGTGAAAGGTTAAAGAGAACAAATTGAATTTTTTTTTCCCGAATGCAAATATCTCACTTGCTTCAGAATCAACAAACATGTCTCAAACTTGTATTTGTTTGGGCTTCTGTGTGTTGCAGCAGCTTTGATTTATTTTAAAAAGTCAAAGCTGTATAAATGTGTTGTTTAGTTTGAATGGAAAGTATTCTAGACAGAAATAGAGTTTGAGAAAAGAGGTAATATCAGATGCTGTCCATAGCTAAGCTATATGAATATCTAATATATGCCATATTCCTTCAATAAATGCAATCAGAGCCTCAGACTTTATAATAAAAGCAAACATGAGCTGCATTTGTGTGACACTTTACATGGACACAGGTACACTCATTTTCCCAACACAAACAGAAAAGTTTTCCTTCTGTCACATCTGTGTAAACTGAAGTTACCAAACTTTCAGAAATGGCCATTCAGAACAATTCTAGTGTCTTTTAGGACAGAACAGTGAGTGTTTGCAGGGGAATGGGCTGTAGGCTCACTTCTTCCTTCAGTGCTGTGTACAGTGCATACAGTTAAGAGTTAAGGCAACTTAACACACACACATGGCCAAAATTCAAAGGACATACAGTGGTGGAATCACAAGAGCTTGGGAAACACTTCACAGTTATAAGCATGATCATGTTCATGTGATTTGGCTTGAGATCTCTGCCTAAGTCTTCTTGGGGGCTTGATCAAGTAGCCATTTCCACATCCATCATTTAGTGACACACAGACCAATGAAGCATCATTATTTTAAAATGTGGGTGGAGACACCGAGTGCATTGAAGAAAACTGCATAAAACTTTGGTTTTTAAAGAGTTTTTGGAGGACAACAAAGAAAATTTTGGTCAATTTTTAAGAGTACTATTACACCTGATTGACTTTCTTTTTTCCTTTTAAGACAGAACATTGTTTAACTTCATGTAAAGTCTAGATTGCTAAAATGCAAAATTTACTTCTCAGCCACTTTAGAGCTAGACTCAAACTGGAAAAAGGACAGACAAAATGTCTGTATTAATTAGTTGCTTCGTGATTGCCTCTGAGAGAATTCACACTTGGCATGTTGCATTTGCTGTTTTCTGTTCCACTCTGAGTTAATAACATAATGTAGAGCATGAATTGGGTGCTAATCCTCTAACACTGTTCAAAATCCTGTTGTGAAGATCAGATGCTGTTATCTGAATGTCATTAGGGTTTTGTTTTCTTTTGCTCTGGCCTTGTCTTACGGAAACTTGAATTGTATCATCCTGTTTCTAATTTATCTTCTTGGCTGCTACACTGGCCTACAAGTTTTCTAGACCTTGCTAATAGATGTACTCATCCATTCCAGAACAAACATGTTCTGTCTGCCTGAAGGTTTTGTATTGTATCAGGGTAACAGGAAATTAGGAGAAATGCAGACTAACAATTCATACTCTCTTATTAGTGCAAAATCAAAACCAGTATCACTAATGTCAACCTAAGCATATGTCAGAAGAGAATTAAACTTTGCCCTGCATCTGTGGTTTGAGAAGAAAATATTATCTAAGAAGAAAAGTTCTAATTTCAAAATTCACTGAATTCTTCTTTTAAAATGTGTAACCTCTGAGGAGTGTTTCTTAGAAAACTATATTCTGCTGTCTCCACTTCAGATCACTTTAAAGAGCCCAGAGACCGTTGTCCTTTATAACTGGTTTTACAAATTACATTAAAAGCTTTCAATTATTTTTTCTGTAATAGAGGAGCAGACACCTGTGCCTTAAACAAAGCTCTCCACTGTGCCACACACTCTTACTTTGTGTTTGAGATTAATTGACCACTGCAGAACGCATCCTTGGACTTTCTGCAATACATGAAACAACACTGGGTGAGGAGTAGTTATCCTGAGCAAGGCACGTGATACTGTAAACCTGTCTGGAACATGACCACCACAACACTGCTGGCTCCTGGCTTTGGCTGTGTATGCTACATAAATGCAATGGCATTTACACTTAATCAAAGGTAATGCAATAAAAAAAGTACTTTTTTTGCATGCATTTTGGTTTGTGGAGCAGAGCTATAAACACTTGAAATAGAAGTAATAGCTACATCTTCCCATCATATACGTAGCCCTTGTATGGACTGTCCTTCTCACATCTAAAAACAAATGTAACATTCCCTAGGTGCTAAAGAGAAAGCAGCAGCATAGGCAAAGGGCATGGCTGTGAGGGGTCATTCCTGAATTAAATTCTTGGCTCTGCAATAAGCTTTCTATGTAAAAACTCAGATTAGTTCTGTTTTACAGATTAAGAATACCTTTCCACATCACCTCATGGTACAGTAGGGACAAAGAAGAAATATACTTGTTACCATGATGTATCCAGATGCTACTGATAGCTGAATATTATGTAAACAAACATAATCAGCAACAGCTCTTACTTCAACTACATGTTATGTCAACTGCTCCGTGAGTTGTCTGAACAAAAACTAGGCAAATCCTTAGTCAATTTCTGCACAAGCACAGCAGCTCCATATTCTCCACACTTCAGAAAATGTCAAGACACAACCTGACCAAGTAATTTTTGAAGTATTTCCACAAATTTAGAGCTGTTTAAAATCCAGCTACATGACCAACTTAGAAAGTAATTCAGTATCTGACTCTGAAACAGCTCTCCAATCCTGCACAGTCACTGCTCTAATCTTGCACTGTCAGTTTTTAACAGCTTTAGCAACGAGTCATCTGGTATACATTTGCCAAGGCATTTCCATCATTGACACTTCTAGACTGAGGGAACCAGTTGAAAGCAGCAACACGTTACTCACTCCTACCACTTTCTCTGTTCAGATTTTTTCTTGCTTACTGTGTTGAACAGGTGATTGTAGTTGCTCTGTTTCCCAAAAACCAGTATCTGCAAAATAGGTTGTGTATGTAAACAATGTAAACCTCTCTGTACACTGCATGATTTCCCCTGGCTAACCCTTTCATCTTTAAATAGAGACTGTAATCTTCAAAACTGAGTGAATAGCAGATTGGCAACATGCTAATTCAAGTTAATAAATATAGTATAAAACATTAGCTTATATATTTTACAAGTGTTCTATAATCTCCTGGAATAACCTTTATTGTAGTATTCAGATCAATGTTCCTTGAACTTAAGTATCTGAGGTAGTTAGCATTGTAAAAAAATGCAAACGAAAGTCAAACACTAATTTAAGAGATAAAAGGAGAAATTTTAGTTAAAATACTTTACAATAAAATAATTATGATTATAAATCTCTTTAGTTAAATATATACACATTACATGGTATTCTAAAAAGAATGAACTTATTAAAGTTTCAAGCAGATCTAATGCACAAATTCACCACTTTTTCAGCTTAGACTGTAATGTCAGTTTAACATTCATAAATGGCTGTGTCAGACTAATGGCATTTTTTTGTGCAAAACTAAAAAAAAATTTATGAAAAAAATCCTTCTGTTCCCACAGTAAATAGATAGAAAAGGTAGTTTACACATACACACACTTACACACACAAACTTTGATTGCATACAGAGGTTAGAATGACCAGCACTAAAATAACCCCCATCTCTACAAAATAATTAATATCTTGAATTGATGTAGTTTTTTAAAATTACAAATTTTAAGTGCTAGCAAATTGTGCTTTTAGGCAGCCACATGGCCAATAAGGTAGATGTTGTCATAAAGATGCCCTACAAAATCTTCACTAATATTCTGTGCAGCTCGTCGGGTATTTCGGATGAATTCCCTCTTTGACATTTTGTTCTTCACGTGAGGGCTTGTTAGATCAATTGAAAGTAGAATCAAAGAGTAACACAGTACATAAACTGCATCTAGACAAGAGAGAATAAATAAAAAAAAGTTTAAAAAAGTAACTGTGATCATTAAAAGTATTATTCCCTGTCTAGGAATCTTATGGTCTTTATCATCTAGGCTCATAATTTTATATATATATACATACACATATACATACAACTACTCATAAGGATATCCATAGAAATAAAATTTAATACAGCAACTTTCAAAGTAATAATGTCAGCACACTGCCAAATGAGAATTTACAAATCTCTTAATATTTCTACATAATCCAAAAGCCACTAAGGGCTTTATATATTTTCATTTAAACAGATTCTTGAAGTTTGTATAAACTAAAACCAACATCCTGCAAAAGCTTTTCTTTTAAATATGTAAGCAGTTCCACTGCTGAAAACTGCCTCCTCCAACCAATTAGAAATGCTTGTTAACTTGAATGTCGTCCAATATCCCCTTTCTTTCTGTGAGACTATCCACAAGGCAAGTCTTGCAGTGTAAGACTCTGCAAGAGTAACTTAAGAAAAGAAAAAAAGCTCAAAGTACATACAAAAATGAAGGAAAGATACCACGGAAATAAACCAAACTAATCAGCTAAAAAAAAGAATCTGTACGTTTTTTTGGGTTTTTTTTTTTCAACTGAACCATTTTGTACTTTTAGATATACACATTTAGGTGCTCATTTCAAAGCTATCAGAAACAGTAGCATCATCCAGAAGTATAAAGACTGATCCACTGCTCATTTTTGCTTACCAGGGCTAAGGCCAAGCTCTCTCATCAAATCAGGATTACAAGCACAGAATCTGTGAGAGAACTTTGTTATGAGAGTTTCAAGGTACTCCCCACGCTCCTCAGGAGCATGAATGTGTCTGAAGAACTCTCTCAGTGCATTTGGCAAGAATTGATTTCTGAAGTTGTGCAGCGTCACAAGGTCATCCAAAACATCTCTCCTGGCAGAAAAAAAAACCCTATCATTAGAAAAGTTTCTTTTATCTGTTTCAATATGAAAATGTGTAGATGTTAAAAATAAAAATTAAAGCTTTAAAATAGTATGAGCTTTTGTTTTTGCCAGACGGCAAAATTATCACTAACAGCACAAAGATAATATACACACGTTCTTTTCCTGTTTGTAGCCAAATACTATAAAAGCATACACGAATCAGAACTCAAAGTTTGTATGTGTATTCAATTCAAAGTCTACACAGAGGCTTTGATTCCTTTAATCTGTGACAAAACCATTAAAAAAGACAGTAAAGGGAATAAATTGATGTGTGTCACACATTCTGATGGCTAAGTAGAAGCTGTTACAGGATTGTCTTGTTAAAAAACCAGTCTTCAGCTAGGCAAAATTTGCTCATGGAAGTCCATCAGAATGTGATGTTCTCAAGCATTCTGCACTAAACACAAACACATATAAAAAATTCAGACCATACCTGTATTACCAGATGTGCAAAAGAAAGTAGAAAAAAATTTGGAAGCAAATTTGAAGTGAACCTAAGAATATTTTCCTATGTTTAACCTGATTTTTACCTTGCTTGTGAGTTTCAACATTTAAAAAAGTAGTTTTTATTTTTAGTGTCTGATCACACTCTGTTTATGAAGGGAAGATAAATGGCAGTAGGAGTCGCTAACCTTAACATGCAATCTCACCCATTAAATGGTTTTGCATTTTTATTATTGTCTAAGAGATTTATAAATCTGAAGTTTTACTGCACAGGACTGCCAGTGGTGATAACATTACAGACTCCTTTTATTCCTTTAGTAGTACAGTCTGAGAAGGATGAGAGAAGCAGGAGAAGATTCCTGTTGAAGTGCTGTTGGCCCTCTGTTTTTCCTATTCAGGTGCAGTTATTGCTCTCCTTCATGATACTGCCCTGCCCCAACCTGATGGCATGAGAAAGCACTGTGGAGACAGAACAGCACGCTACAGCAGGGACAGAGTTCCCTTCTGCAGCTCCTGATGTCTCCAACAGGCTGCTCCCTTCCCTGTCAGAAGGTGTGTACAACTTCCAATCAAGAAATATCAGACAACCAAGTAATGATGAGATGATTCAACATTAGTTAAAAAGCTATCATCCTTTAGTAAAGTGGTAATTACTTTTTCTAAATAAGACCCACAAGAAAGGGAAAACAAACCGTCAAGTCAAAAAATCCAGCAAAATATCCTTATAAGATTTTGTGAGGATGTGAGATTTATCATTTATAGGTGGTATTTTTGAGGATTCTTATTAAGTGCTACAGTCACATAAATACTTAAATGGAGTCACTGTTCAGATTTAAAAGAATCACTACCTAGTTGCATTTTTTTGCCTTTTTACATCATTGAAGTGGCATCTCTACATTCAAAATATTGACAAATGGGACAGAACAATGAAGATGAATAGAAAATGTCTTAAGAGAAATTTTAATTACCTTTCATCAAGGTAGATTCTCAGCTTCTTCCAATTCAGTGTTCTTGTGCAAAAGATAAACTTAGCTATTTCTTTCGGTGAATCATCTAGGATGCCTTTGGACATAAAGTAGTTGACTCCCTGAGATAAAATACATGTACATAAAAATATGTTTAATCTTCATAATGCATTTAGGAACAAGTATTTTACTTCACAATGTAGGAATGTAATCCTACGAATTAACTGGTTCGTTTTTCAGAATGACTCCTCCTCCTCTAAATCACATTTCAACATGCAGAATATGCTCTAAAATTATAAATCAAATGCCAAGAGACAATTTAGTGTTATGGTTGAGATTTTACACACAGTCATAGTAGAAAATTTTAAATTATGAACCCCATAATGAGCATGATGGTTCTTTATTAAGTTCTTTACAGTGTGTATCAGTATTTTGCTTTTCATACTATTGTAATGGTATTTAAAATGTTGCAGGGACCACAACTGGTAATTTCATAACTTTTGCAAATAAGAAAATCTTAGCCATAATGTGTTTTGTCTTCAAAATCTTTCATTAAAACAGTAATGTTCTCACATGTATACAATGTATCACATTCAAATAGATGCATTAATGCATTTGTTTAAATGTGTAATAATGCAAATAAACACAAGCACGCTGATTTCAAAGCATAGGTAAGTATCAACATATATAAATATGCATACACATAAATAAAAACACTATGCCTAACATAAAGATAGTTTAAAAATACAGAATTGTATATAATTTATAGTCATGATTTCCAGAATTTTACACTTTTACCAAACACACATTTCTTACAGAATAAACATGGCAAATTTAAAGTATTTCAGTGATATTCTGGACTCTCTCTGGTCATTGAAATATCCCAAAGCATAAAACTATTTTCCTTACAATCTCAGAAATCAAACCAAACTAACGGATTTAAAAAATGTTCGCACTTTTCAACAGCAAAAATCTAAACCTGAGAATAACTAACAAAGCTCTTCTGATTCAGTCTGGCAGGGCCTGGGAGCAGTTCTCAGCTTTTCTTACCAAGAAGTGTTGCAATACTTAAGTACAACAGATTGACTATAGCATAAGGATGAAATGCAAAATGAGTAGACAGTTTATTTCTGCATAGAATAATGTACCAAGGCCACAACCTAAATCACCTTTAAAATACTTCTGACATATTTTTTTCCTAAATCTTCTGATATCAAATGTCACAATATTTTCTAAGTCTGCCCTTTCAGTTTTACCTTACAGCCACAAAGATGTAGGGGAAACCTGTCATTCAGTGTATAAACTAAACTTCCCAGTGCTCTTGAATTTTGTGTGAAAAAGAAATAAAGGACTGAGTGCAGGTTTGGAACATTTTGTGAAGTATCTTAGTAAAGCAAAGTCTTAGTTGCATCAAGCAGCTAAATAGTTAGAATATACATTTAAGAACACAAATTAAAAGCCAAGAAACACGTGTAGTATTAACTAGCTGTTTTTACCAATCCATAGTTTTTGCCTATATATTTATAGAAAACAGCAGTTGATCAAGATACATTTATTTTGTTAAAATAATGGTTTATACAAATAAATAAAAACATAAAGTTTTTTAGATAGATAAACCAAAAAATCTAGCAGTGTTATGCCCCAATTTTAAGAAAAATCTATATTTAGGATGACAGTGTAATGTGTATGGCTCTACCATCTTGCATTTCAGTCCAAATTGGATCATATTTGTCATGGACCACATGTTAAGTACTTTCTTGAGTCACAGCTAAATAAGAAATTAAAAATGGGAGACAACAACAAGGATTTTGGCAATTTATGTAAGATGAGCAGCAAAGTATCTCCTTTACATATATCCTGAGTTAACGAGATTTATGCGTTTGCTTCAGTAAGAAGTATTAGCTTAAGGTAATACAAACTGAAGCCTGGTGGGGAAGTCTTGAATAGCACTCCTGCTTCAATTACCAAACACTTCTGCAACACATCCAGAAAATACCTAACATGACATAGAAGAGGCAGGATGAAAATAACACCTTCTTTAAGACAGTGGGTTTGTTTCTCTGTGACAGTAAATGCTGCAGTTTCTTTCTCCTGCACTAACTTGCAGCTCAGTGCAGGATCTCCATCTGACAGGCTACAAAGACTTCACATTATTCTCTATCTCTAATTCCTTTCTCCCCTACCACGCATAACGCTTGACAATATCTTCCCCTGTGAATGCATTTTCCTCAGCTCCTTCACAAGTAAATAGGGTATAAATAAAATACAGTTCACCACATGCCATGGTTTTTAGTTGCTTTTCATTTAATCCTAAGCTATCAAAAATACTTTGCAACAGCAGAAGCCTGATTTCTCTTAAGTTGTTAAATTTTGTCTCACAACAAATGAAATTTTTTTACAAGATTTACAGCATGTCATTGAATCTGTTTTTCGTAACACCGTAAATACTACCTTGAAAACCTCTCAGAACCTTGTTTCAAATAAATCACTTCTGGTAGCTAAAATGGTCGCTTGTGGCATATATACTAGCTGAAGTAGGTAGCCCTACACACTATTAAAACCTATGCTAAGATTACTTATCAGTCAGCTGGTGAGTCTCTTAGGAAACATTTGACTGCAGTCAGGTAGGCTATTCTGTGCCATGATCTATCAGCTCTGAAGAGACCTTTTTAACACTTGGGAAACATTGCAGAATGAGCACATACAGTATTTTTAAAATTCTAATTCAGAGGACTGTAATATTCTTAGCATTTGAGAATTAGGAAGGATGCCTTAAACCTTGCCTCTGTGGCAAGCATGTTATTTCTGAATTTCAGACAGCTCTGCAGAAAATATTAACGTATGGAAGTGTTGATTTAAATTACACATGCAAACGACAACTTTAAATATAGACTAACAGTAACAACAAAAGCCATTTGTTGTATCTCAGTATGTTATTTTTCACAGTTGTTTATTTTGTCTCGCACACAATGCTTGTTTTGCCAGCCTATTCTATTACAGCACTGACGCTCCTTGCTTGTTTTCTACCTGTTTCCAAGTGTCTTTGGATTTGTTTACATCCATATAGGATCTCTAAAATGGAAAACTTTTCATTTTCAGTGTTGATTCCATTTCTGCATTGACTATCTCCTTCGCTAAGAGTACTCTCAGAGCACTTCAGTACAGCAGTCAACATTAAAACTTTTGTAGTTGCCTTTGACACCTCTGTTTAGATATGCATACAAAACAAAGACATACTCTAAGTTAATGGCCAGAAATTTTGGAATGACAGAAATTTTGCAATCAGTATCTAGTATAGTAGGGTTCTGTTGGTGATTCTAGGTAACACTGACATTATTAGTAAATAATAATTAGATACATATGGTATTATTGTTCTCATTTTTCTAGGGAAGTACACTATCTTAAAAATCTAATGGTGTATCTTCTGGAACAATGCAGAGTATTGATGAACTATTGTATAATACAAATTTTTAAGACTGTTTTACTAAGTTAGGAATCAAGTCATTTGGAAACAAATGTGGACACAATATGTAACATACATTTCAACCAGTGTCTCTTTCACTGTATGTCTTTAAAATACAGTCTCAGTGATTCAAACAGCATAGCAGTAATTGCAAATAGAATGCAGAAATATTTTTCATGTTACACAGAATCCATAACTAATAATTTACAAGATTAAACCACTCTGATTTTAACATAGAAATATCAAAAGGTTTCAGCTCAATACTCCTTTCCAACTTTTTTGATAAATCACACAAAAGAATTTCTTTCCTCTACAACATACACATAGTTATACTATTCCTCAGACCAATAAATCAATGCATCTCAAAACTGGCTTGCTTAGTAGATCACTGTGAAACAGGGTAAGTTTCAAAAAACTTTGCTTAGAAATACAGCACAGTAAACAATCCATCATCCACAGACTATCTATAATTAAAAGTCAGGTAAGGTAGCTTTACACAAGCAGCTAACAATTTATAACCAGGAAAAGGTTAGAAAAACCTGGCCTCCCTGTCAAAAAGTAAGGGCAGCTTGCAGAATGAGACAACTGGAATAGTGTAAAGACAGGTTTAGTATAAGCACTGTCTTACTGTACTTTATTATTATGCTATGCAAAGGAAATACTGACCTCACTAATGACAGACAGTTTTGGTACAGTACAGATTCCAGAAGGTCCATAAAAATAATGCTATTAAATAGATCAGTTAGAACCACTAAGAACCATCCTTTCATCATTAAGGATGAAAAAAAAATAGATCTTCTTTCCTGACTAGAAGATTCTTGTTCGTACCTTTAGTTTCAATTTTAGCTACATAGCATTGATCCATGTAATAAACTTGACAAAATATTTTGTAGGGAGTTAGAAACTGGATACAAAACAATGGGAATTAACTTCTGGTTGCTTACAAATTCTGAGTCATAAGCACACAAGATGAAATGAGCACTGCATGAGAAACATTTCACATACACTCTTTAAAATAAAATACAGCAGAAACCAGGTAGGCAGATTAAACAACATATTTATATTCATGTGCTAATACTAACGCTAAACTATCCCCTCTTGCCAAAGAAACAAAAAAAACTAGGTTCCAAAATCTTGTCTACAATGGCGGTGCCATATGAAAAAAAAACAACAAAACCAACCAACCAATAAAAAAACCCCAAAAACCAAACCAAACCAACAAAACCAAAAAAAACAAAAAAGCCCATCCCAAACATGCACTGGAGGTTTTTTTTTTTCAGATTACATGTTATGTGTTTAGGCACATCCTTTTAGCAGAATGTGAGCACCTGCTATGAATTATGCAAGCTCATGCACACAATCAACACGTTAAATTACAGCAGATATCACAACACCATGCACACAACAATGGCTAACCAGAGAATCCTACCACAAAGTGTGCAGATGCTCTTCCCTACCCCGTGAGCCACCGCTAGCACTGGAGCTGTTGCTGTGGAGCCTGGTTACCCATTTTCATGACATGGGCGGTGTCCTTTGGAGAATCTTGCTCCTGTGGCTGTAAGTATTCCTATTTTTATAGTACTTTGATCAGGTCTGTTATCAAATGTAAAGCAGAGTTTGGCAGGAAATTCGGAGACACAATTTGTAATAGTGGAATGTCATATCATACGTTCCAGTCACAGTGTCCTTATAATAATAATTCTGCCAATATCACAGTTGTAAACAGTAAAAGCAATGGTATTTGTGAATTCTCCTGAAACTCAGGCCCTGAGTGACTCCTACCAGGCTACGGTGCTCCACAGGGAGAGAGGAACAGAGCCCTTAGGAGATACCCTGAGGCTCTCATCTCTCATTGAAGCAGAGTGTTTGTACTTCTATTGTAAAATGTAACCATAATGAAGAAGCAAAAGTAACAGAATAAAGTTAATACCTATTTTAGGTATGCCATAAGTTAGCTCTAATTTGCACATCTTAATTGCCTTTAAAAATAATGAATCTTCTATTACATGCCTTTTCTGAAGGTTCCAAATGCTTTAAACATACCAAGATTATTATAAATAAGGTTGAAATATACATTATAAACTGATATAGTTGAGTGAAAAATTGTGTTAAAAAATTGAAATACAAAGAAAAATTTGGACAGACAATGCTGCTAGTAATATACTTGATATATCACTGAAAACATGTAAGTTACCTAAATATTGCATCTAGTTTGAAAACTTTCACATTTATTACCAAATTTGTGAAAATTCTGCAGAAAACAATAAAATTCTGCAGAAAACAATATCACTCAAGTGGCCAGGTGCTGATGTCTCAATGCTGTGTAACAGAGATCAAGGCAGAGTTCTACCAGAAAAATTACAAAATAGTCTATTTGTGACTGATAAAATTAATGGTCTCTTAATCAAGCAGAATATGAGATGAAGCAAGAACTTAAACGAAATTACATTATTGCAATGATTCATAGAACTGTTTTATTTATTTTTCCTTATGGTCACAAGTTCACACTTTCTGTATCATTTCAGCTAAGTGAAATTTGCTTCTAGAAGTGTTTCTTTTCATATCTCAATCTGTTTTCTACTTGGGATTTACTCAATCACTACTTCCATGTATATGTGCAACTATATGCAGGAAGTTAACAGCATTTTGTTCAGTATTGTGTACACTCTCTTCCTAGGAAACATGAAGCAGGAGTCTTGTTTCATATACAAAAGGCTCTCTCTGCCACTTGGGCATTAACTGTCTATCTCCTAGGCAAAAGCTGTCTACTCTCAAACTGTTTTCTTCTTTGAAAGGTGACAGACTGAAAGCAGAAACTGACTTTTCCAGTTAGTTACATGAACTTACAAATGGAAACGTTTCAGTCTGACAAGGGATTTTTTTTTAAGACAAATTTATGTTGCTCTAGAAGAAAAGATTATGCACAACAAACACCTACAGAAATTAAATCAACCTGATCTTCAGGATAGTTCAGCAGTAGATCTTTTTCATATTTCAAGATTTGCTCCTTGACAGTGGAAATAGGTGAAAATCCTCCAGAAGAAAATGTGATTGGAATAGAAGTAATCAGACTTTATACCTCATCCTGCTTTGCCTAAAGTGAACCAAACTCATACTCTGCATTTCAACATTTTTATTTACGTAAGCTCATTGCTATGCTCTTACAATTCACCACTGTCTCTTCAGTTAGGATATCTGCCTTGTTCCTAAGTTAATACCTGGTAATGAATTTCTGGCATCCACAGAAGTGTACGGAGCACTTAACAGGCAAGTCATGTAAATGATGTACACAAGTACAATACTCAAAAAAGAGACCAGAATACTGCTGTAGCCCAGTATTAACCATCCCTACAGTAAAACAAACAACGATTAAAACTTTGTTTTTATATGGCTATAATTATTAAAAAAACAAACACAATTATTGTAACTGGTTATTATTGTCAGCAACAGTTCACTTACCTCATCAGGGTTGGCATTAAAGGTGAGACTGCCCTCATCTAGCTGCATATACAATTTTCTAAAAGAAAATCCTAGAGGCGGATTCTTATTGTATATAGAACAGTGACCCCAAGTGGATTTGCACAACCTATGAAAATAGAATTAATCTATTATAAAAATTCCTTTCCGAATTTCATGGATTTTACAGAAGCAAAATGTAATCAACACTGCAAAGCTAATACTTGAGCTATAGGAAAAGTTAGAAGTAGGTTGCTGTAACAGTTATTAAGTCTTTTTGCCATGTTTTTCTGAAATCTTCAATTATATGATTTATGTTTTCGTCTCATACAGGTTTTGGTGTATTTTGAGTGCAACACCAAAACATATCCCAGTAGGTGGCATCATGACAACCACACAGCAGAGACCTCTGGCACTCCTAGAACCTGGAGAACAGCAACAAGTAGTTCTCCTGGGGTACTATGACAGATTAAAACATTGTGTTTCTTTTCTTCCTGTGCCCCAGTTGTGCAGTGAATTGGACACAATTGTGCAGTATCTGCACAATTATGCCATTAATTCAGCACTTTCCCCGTCTGTCCTTCTTCACCCAACTCCTCTTCCTCTTGTCCTAATTGGCCAGTCCTAACGACTAGATCCAGTCCCATCCCTCTCTATCTTCTATAACTTTTAAGCTTCTTTCCTTTTTATTCCACCCTGACTCCACAAGTTTCATCAGTTTCTGTCCCTCATCTCAGTTTCTTTGATGATACCATCTGCAACCGCCTTTCTACACACTCTAGATTCCTTACTGAACAGTAAGTAGTTCTGCTTCAACACACCTGCCCTGTAACTAACTAGGAATAATGTTTAGGACACAGCAGGTAGTCACTGGAGACATGGCAAAGATTCTGTTTTCAATTCTGGAACCTAGGTGTTATTTGGACTGAGTTTGGAACTGCAACCACAGTACTTGCCAAAGCTTAAACACACCCTCATACGTGTGGAATTGTGAAGATTCTTACAGAGATTATGCAAATTGAGATTTTTATTTATTGCTAAATCAGGACCCATTTTCAGTACCAAAAGAAATGAGGTATGAATGTATTATTTGGTAAGATTGCACAAAAAATGGTTGAACGGTTTCCCAGAACGAACTTCAAGGAAAATATGTATTTCCACCCCACATGTTAAGAATATATACTCCATGTAATTAAGAAGCTCTACTATCTTCAAGCTTTGGCCTAGGGAATTTATTTTTATTTAGGCTGAGTTTGATACCAAGAACTGAGCACAGTACAATGCATATTGGTAAACTTAGTGGCTTACTGGTATCCTTCACTAGAATTCCTGTTTCCTGTCAATAGAACAGTCCCCAACAGCAGAACAATTGTGACTAAGAAGTTATGCTGCATTATCCTTTTGCTAGGTTCAAAAGCATGATAGGAAGGGAAGCTGCTGAATTGAAATGCAGCTGGGCAAGGAAACAGATGAGGGGAGGAGCAGATGTACAGCATAATGAAAGGTAAATACACAACCTGAACAGCAACCCAACTGCTACAGTAGTAATACTGTCTGTTAAGGGAGCAGAAAATATTGTGAAAAAAGTTAAAAGTTTTGCTGACCACCTACTCTAAAGATAAATATGATTTCATAAATGTTTCCTAGTGCTGTAAAACATAAAATACCAAAGAATATGTTAATTACAGTTTGATATTACACTATTTTATCTTAAAAATGTTCCTTTATTTATTTCCTAGACATACAAATTCTGCATATGTTATATATAAATGTGTTTCAAGTGTTAGGCTGAAGAAATTTCACTTGAGAAAAAACAACCTTTTCTTTCCTCCCTCCATGACCATCTTCCAAAAAAGGTACACCTAATTTGCTTCAAGTGTAGTAGATGAGTTCTCACTTCTCCACCTTTGGAAGTTTGGCTGAATAGGTTTGCTTGCTTAAGCTAGACAACAGTTCCAAGTTCAGAGAAGTAATGATACAAACACCTGAGATGTGCTTTGAGCTAATACAAAAGTGAAGACAGGTCCCTGTTTTTACCCCGTGCTATCTCAAACACCAGGTGTTTAATAATACACATGTATACTTGTGCCAAGCATGCTTGTGTATGCAGTAATCTCCAGTAATACCCCATACTAATTAGAAATCCAGAATAACACATTTTTAAACGATATATGTTTCCTCTATATAAATCTCATTTAACTCGGGAAACCTTTGCTAGGTTAGGAAGACAAAAAGCACTTACTGAGGCAAATTTAAAATCTAATACTTTTTACTATGCCCAGGTGATACTTCTTTTTTCGGGCTTACCCTTGCCAGAGAAGCTCATCATTAGCAAGATCCTGCCAGACACATGATGCTAGACAGAGATCAGTTGCATTCAGGTATGACAAAATGGTAAAACTGAGCTCTGGTGGCAACATTTCCAGGTTAATGAAACCTTCTTGTTCTTTAGATTTTCTTGTCTTCAGCAGGTGGTAGATGTCAATGCCTCCTTGAGCTTGTTTGCGATGGCTTGTATTGGAAACATTGTTAGCAGGTATCCTCCTACCATGCTCTCTGGTAAGATAGCCTTGTCCACTGTATCCTTGCTGCTGCAGTTGCTGGTTTCTAGCAATTCTCCAGAGTCCCTGACCCATCTGCGAGCCTGCTGGACATAAAATCCAAATTAGACATTGACAGCTATTCGTAAACATTTGTAAGACAGACTCAGCATGTAAGTAAAATTTTACGACTGATCTGAATAGGTAGAAAGTGAGTTCTGGCAAAGTTATGTTGACCAAGTAATCAGTCTTCATAGGGGAACTGAAAAATACTGAAAACAAAACCCATTAAAAAAACCTAGATTTTTTTCAAAAGTTTCCACGATTGAAGAGCTACAAAGCTAACAATAAGCTTCTTCAAAGACTACCAAATATTATCTATATCACATGGAAGGTTAAGAAACCTTAGTCTTCAGAACATTTGGAACCTTCAGACTTCCTTCAAAATTTCATAAAAAGACCTTATTGAGAATCAATGAAGGACTCTTTAGAGTCAGTGATTAGATAACACAGTCACTGACACTGAAACAAAGTTGAATGACTTCAGTGATAATGCAGTAAGAATTCTGAGTGCTCAGAAACAAGAGAATAATATCTTTTCAAGCTTTCTTACCTAGTGGTGTAACATAAAGCCTTGATAATAAGACACACACATACTTATACAGAGAATATCGCTGCAGAAATAGTGTAAAAAGCCTTTTTGTAATGTAAAAAAAAATAAATTAAAAATATTTTCTATTTTAAGGACAAACTGAAGAAATTTCACAGAAGAAACAAAATGAGACAGAATTTAAAACAGCCTAGAACCAGCTGCCAAAAATCCACAAGCTCTGCTATTTGTGTAGCTATTCAGCAGCTTATATGCCATTTGCTAGAACACATATAATTTTCCCAATCACGTAATTACTTTCAGCTTTGTAATAATCCAGGATGAATGCTTTCATAATAAAAGATGAGTAAACCCATTGTTATGAAGCCTTTTAAGTAATGGCGTCAAAGACTATATTTTAAAATTATTTTGAACCTGTATTTTCAATCTTCAGATTTAGTACACGGTTCAAAAGCATGTTTTCAAACTTCTAATAATGTAATCTTATCTAGTAATTTAAACCTCTTGATAGCTTGGCTGGAGCAGCTACCACAGCAAAAATAACATCGAGCTTGTTATATATTTATAAATTGCTGATCTTCTCTAGCTCTGTCTGCTATCTATCAAACTCTGATTTAAATTCTAATTGTGTCTTCCTCATGTTACTTTGCTACTGCATAATAAATTCTTTTGCAGTGCTGACAAGCATGATAGGATGCTAAAAGTAATCTAGATTAATGCTGCATTAGTCCTGGATTCTACTTTATTCAATAAAGACCAACATGCATTCTAGATATAAACACTCTCCACTTTACAGTAACTGAGCCCTACAGCTGCTGATTTGCAGCCACGATTATCCCAACAGGAAAACGTTCGACGCAAGCCCATCGAAGCTGAAGCTTCGTCCCTAGCAGCTGCATTGCAACCGAGGCCGGCTGGTCCCCCCGGCCCGGTAACGTGAAAACCCTTCAATCCCGATTCCGGGAACCAAGCTGGCGGGTGGAGGCACAGCCCGTCCCGCAGGCCCAGAGCCGCCCCCGGGAGCCGAGGCCCGAAGCCGCCCAAGGCCGCACCGCGTCCCGAGAAGCTCCGCAGCCGTGCCGCCCCCGAGCCGCTCCTGCCCGCGCAGAGCGGCACCGGGACCCGGCCCGGGCACGGCCGCCCCGCTCTCGGGGCACCGGCGATCGCGGCCCGGCGGGTGCCGCCCCCCGGCCCCACTGGGCCGCCCCCGGAGCCCCGGCTGCCGATTGGCCGCGCCGCCCGTCCGTCCGCGCCGCGGAGGGGCACCCGCGGGCCCTACCTGTGCCAGCTCCGCTCCAACCGCCGCCGCGACGAGCCCGGCCCGCCTGCGTGCGAGGGCCGCGCCGGGCGGGGGGGACTGCGCGGGCCCGGCGGCGGGGACAGGCGGACAGGCCCAGGGAAGGAGCCTCGGCAGGGAGGCCGAGCCCGCCGCCGCCGCCCCGACTCCTGCCCGGGCAGCTCTGACGTCTGCTGTTGTTGCTGGAAGTGACGTCCGCGGGGAGGGACGCGCGGGGAGCGGAAGTGTCCGTCGGGTTCGGCGGCGGCAGATTCGGTCTGCGCCCGCCGCCTCCGGGAGCGGGAGCGGCCGCGGGGCCGCCGCGCTGCCAGGGAAAGCGGTGCTCCCGCCGCGCGGGTGAGCGTCAGCATCGCTCTCGGGCCGGGCTCTGTCCCCGCCGTGCGGGCCGGCTCCTAGCCCGGGACTCTCCCGCTCCGCGGAGACGGCGAGCTCTGGGGAGGGCCCGGACTCCGGCTGTTGTAGGGGCGAGGAAAGGCGGGTGGGGAGCTGGCCCCGGTCCCACTCTGGCGAGCTTGCCGCAGCCCGCCTTGCCGTGTCCTGGCTGGGACACGCGTTTTTGCCGCTGGTGCCCAGGGCAACCAGCCGAGGACGCGCAGTCCCTTGTGCCCTTCGCTGGTGTGCAGGTGGCCTCTGCGCCAAGGGTGCCGCGGCTGGCACGGCGCCGAGGTGCCGTATTTGTCGGTGACTTCTGTGCAGCTCGGCGTAATGGTGCGATTTCCCCCAGCTCCCCGCCCTGTGCGACAGGAGAGTCTAGATTCAGTTGGAAGAAATAAAAAGTCTGGTTGTTGGGCATTTCAAAGACAGCGTTTACAGTGTTGACATACTTGGTAACTTGCATGGGGTAGTTTTTTTTAGTTTCTGTTTGTTTTGGTATTTTTGTTTAGGTTTTTACATTGATCCTTTGAATGGCATGCACAGTTTTGAGAGCTGTTCTTTGAGCTACTTCCTCAAAGTTCCATATTATTGTCTCTTTAATTAATTAAACTTTGTTATACTCGATTTTATTCTTGATAGCTACCACTGTAACTTCTGCTATGGATTTCTACAGACAAAAGCTATGTATCCCATTTTACTGGGTTCACCTTCCCAAGATTTGCTACCAAATTGACTGTTACTTTTATGATCTCTTAGGCTGTTTTCTAGTGATAGTAGTTACCAGTTTTTACATCCAGAGGTCTGGTGTAAAAAGAAAGGATTTTTGATACTTTAGGGAAACAGCCTATATATGATTAGACAAAATCCTGTCAGAGTGTCTAATCTGCAATTTGCATTGCAGATTAGATCTTCAGTTTTATGTCAGATTCTTTGAGGTTTGTCTTAATAACTATTTAAAATTGCAAAACTGTAGAATGGATCACATTGTACATAATGCAGGAAGCATAGCTGCCTCAATTTTCAAATAATTGGTTAAATTCTCCCAAGCTTTGAAAAGTAAGTATTGTGTACTTCTGTTTAGTGCAATTAATAATCCAGGACCTAATGATTAAAATAAAGGAACCTGATGTTTAAGTAGGAAGAAAATCCTTTTAACAAGGGCAGAACACATGGGAAGAGCCTAATCTTGAAGATTGCTGATTAAACACCATAGAAGCACAAGAAGAAAAACACCCTCAACAAACTCAGCCTCCTGTAAATGGAAGCTTTAACTGTTTCTTGAGACCACAGTTTAAAAGCTGTGTGACTGTGCCTCTTCACTCCTTGCATTGGTAGGCTTCAAAATACTTGTTTTGTAGCAAGAAAAGAAATTTAGTGAAGATAGTGACAGGTAATTATCTCCCAGGTTCTAGCAGAAAGTTGAATTTAAGTGATTATTGCATTTTGTAATTTTTGTGTACATACTTTTTTTGAACTGATGCACTTTTTGCGTTTATTTCATAATCTGAAAGAAGACTAGCATTTGGAATAATGGCAACAGGAGACCTAAATGGAAGTTTAAGAAAAATTGAACAAGGACTTCGCTTGTTAAATTATCCAAGAGATGTGGATTATACAGTGTAAGTAGCAGTGTGAAAACTTATGCCAATACATGGTGACAGCAAGATGTGTAAACAAGATATGCATAAGTATTAGCATTGCACCCAGTGATAAGCAGAACATAACTGGGAAGTTGGGGTGTGGTCTGTGTGAACTGGAATATAAAAGTACGCAGTTTTGCTCTTCTGAGCAATCCTGAGAACAGTCCTGGGCTGTCTTGCTCCTCTTCTGCTGTTCTTCTCTTTGTTTTGGTTACTCTCACTTTTTGGATTTCTTCAGAAGTGCTTGCAAAACTTCCTTCAGGAAATTTCATCCTATAAAGATTAGAAACAAAAAAACAATGGTCTTAATGTTGAGCTGGAAATGCTGGTGGGCTTTAGACTTGGCAATGTTTAAATTGTATTTAGATCACAAAAACTTTTTTTTGAGCATTTTACAGATAACAGCAAAGATGGCTGAGTGAGAGACGCCTGGACAAACAAGCCTTAATGAAGGATACTTAGACAGAACATGCTGTGTATTTATTCCTTTCTAGTTAAATGTTGGAATTCATGTAATGAAAAGCTTTTGTTACCTTCTGCGGTGTAAAATACTTTTGTTTCTTTATAGGTTAGTAAAGGGTGATCCAGCTGCATTTTTACCTATCATCAGCTATTGTTTTACATCTTTTTCGACTTGCATAGCAGAGCTTTTGGTAAAGTGTGATGTGGAACTGACAGCCAAGAGCGACTTGCGTTTTATCGAAGCTGTTTATAAGGTATCTCTTCATGTTCTTTGCTAAAGAAACTTCACAGAAATTAAACATTTACTATGAGCTTTACTAGAAACCTAAAGTTTTTGGTAATGAACATGAATTTTAGTTCTGTTAGGATTTAAGGTGAGTAGTAAGACACTGTGTGCAAGTTTTTAAGATTTTAATGAAAATAAGGATAGGTGGGGGTAGGCAAATCTCAGTTTTGAGACATTTGCAGAAACAGTAATATTGTTAGATGTTAGTTTTGAAGAACACAGAAATGTTTATTGGACAATAAGATTTATAGAAGTGACCTTGGCAAAAATCTTAACCACCAAAAAAAATCACAAGGAACTCAAAAAATTGTAAGCACAGTTTAGAAATACAGCTATTTTGAAACACTATACCATTTTAATACATAAAGTTGAATATTAACCTTTTATAAATCGGAATCATATCTTAACTGATTGAAAATAATTTTGAACTATCCTTAAAATATACAAAAACATGTCTTTATGAAAGGTGGAATGATGAATTAAGAAATAGTGTCTTATTCAGACTAGTTTTCTATCTGAGAGACTGCTTTACAGGCTTCTTTGGGAGCCTTATATAGCCCTCTGATGTACTTGTTGAGATTAATGTGACTTTTTATTTTAAATTCACTTTAAAACCTCTTAGTTTTAAGGTTTTTTAGTATTAAATTCTGTAGTCAGTTATTTCTTGAATCTAAAGACTGTGAGTTGAAGTTTACAAGAGTGATGTGAATGATAGAGGAGATATGTTTAAGGCCTAGTTAAAAGAAACAGCTATATATACGAGAGAATGTTTAACTTCTCAAGTGAAGAATGAAAGACAGGACTGTAGTAAAATAAGAATATGGGCATGCCATTTCTACAGCAAATTGTGAGGTGATTTTGAAAGTGAAGTAAACTCTTATTTTGTTGCAGTTTCTTCGGGATCAATTTCAGTATAAACCAATTTTAACAAAAGAGCAGTTTCTTCAGGTTGGCTTTGCAGAAAGAAAAATGCAAATTGTTTGTGACATTATCAACAGTGTGGTGAAGAAACATAAGGAGTTGAGTAACTCTAGTAAGGTACTGATCAAGTGGTTATCTTTTCTATAAATTTCTTTTGACATGTTTGGTGCTGCAGATAAACTGGTCTTCAGCTTCTATTTGAAGATGCAGCATTGCTCAGGGACCAAATAATGGAAACTTAGTATGAAGTTCCATTGTAAGATGCTTGAATGCTTTCATGAAGCTGCCAATACTTCAGTATAAAAAAAATTAGAATGTAGTAGTAGAAAAAAAATTAGAATGAAGAAAAATCTAATTGTTGTTTTTACAGTAAGTGATATATTTTCTTTTATACTTCTTGATGCAGTGAACATATGAATTAATAAACTTATCAGATAAATTTAAAGGCAAAACAAAATAATCTCACATGTTGAATTTCTGTAACAATTCAAAAATGACACTTGTATTTGTTTCTCAAATCTGATTATTTTCATTAACGATAGTTGTAATGGCATTATTTTTTATCAGTGTATGTAGTGTATCGGTCTCTGTTTTAATGAAAGGAATTTCCAGTCTTTATATTTTACAGGATTTTGTTTCCTTTGAGGTTTTAACAAGTCTTCAGGACTTTTGCATACTTAATTTGTCACTTTTGAAGACATAACTACATTTTTGAAATTTGTTTTACTTTCAACTCTAGTGCAAGTTGTCTTCTCTATTTATAACCATCTATTGATGCAACCTAGCATAGGTGTTAATGAGTGTAAAAGTATGGCATTTACTTCTGGATCTGTATTCTTTATAAATAGGGGTCTTATTTAATTTTTTTAGATGTTATTGTACTACAGAGGTTTAAATGTGTTTGTGTGGGGGCGCCGTGAAATATTCCTGTCAGTCAGTGATGGTGTTAGAAAGTGGGATGTGGAATCCTGAAAATTTTCCTGTTTATTTTCTTCTGTTCACTTTGGAGGTTAAATCCCAAACGAGAAAAAAAATCAAACCTTTTAAAATTGAAGTGTGGTCAAATTGTGGTAAAGGTCTTGCTGATCCAAGTCGCAGTGCTCTGAATTCCAAACAGGTATGAAAATAATTTTTATGTTTTATGTCTAAAGGTTAATCTTGTTGGTAGTTAGTCAAGCTCTTGCTGAAATTTTTTACTTTCATTTAGGTTTTAATACTTAATCAAACCAGTTTTGAGGTGAACTGGTGTTTGTTTGTTTGTTTTTCCCTAAAGTGTGGTTGGCTGAAATAATAGCTGAAATACGGAGGATGTTGCCTCTCTCTAACTGAGTAGTTGATCTCAAAGTCTTGCTGGTAATGACCTAGTGCCGTTGTTAGTGCTATATGTGAATTAAATCAAGTGTAAGGGAGAGCGATGAAAAAAGATACAAGGGGACAAAGAAGCTGTATGGTGTTTGAAGAGTGAAGTGTGCTTGGCCTAGCACGTGTTTTCAACACAGCTTTGAAAACACTGGTGTTTTATCTGGATCTGTTCAGCAAGTTTTCATAATGTAGCGTTCCTTTTGGCTTTGGTTTTACAAAGGTAAAATGATTATGCATTAAGTAAAAATGTCTATACGTTATGCCACTCTTGATGTGTGAAGGAGGCAGCTTTCCTGATATTATCTGCTAAAAGGGTGCGGAATAAAATTGTTGAAAACTTTTAGGACTATGACTGCCTGTTAATAGTTGGTGGTTTCTACTTGTAAGGAAAATATTGCTTTTATCAAGGAAAACTTTGTGAAGAAAGTATTTGGAATGGCTTCTCTATCTTTTCTAGTTGTTTAATAGTAGCACTGAATGGGATAGATAAGTGTATTTTAAGAATTCCTTAGCAGAGGAGAGTTTCAGCTTAACTAAAACATTGAGGAATCTGTACATGTTAAGATGCTGCACAGAACCAGTAATTGTGCATTGTTACTCATTAAGTGTTTCATTTTGTGATAGTATGATAAGATTTAATCCACCTAGAAGGAATTGCAAAATTTCTCTTTGTTTTCTCTAAGGGAAACTAATGAATTTCTCATAGGGCTATTTTGCTGACAATTATCAAGAAAAAGGAAGAATTCTCATTTTCCTAGTTAAGCCTTTTTTGTTCTTAATGTTTTAGTAATGGTTTTGATGTAGAAACTGTCTATACATGTGAATTTTGCTGTAGGTAATAACGTATTTTCCAGTCCACACTTAGAAATCTAACAACCTTTAAATTAAGGGAGGACATTCATGTCTTCATTGCTTTTTATGGAAAGGAAACAAGGTACACAGTATGTATGGTAAAGTGCATGCATATTTGTTTTACAGTTCCTTCAAGTCTGTGTGATTTTTTAAAATTAAACTGCCTGCTATTCCTTTCTGTATTTTGTAACCAGTTGGGATAAGATGGTTAGATTTAAATAAATATTGAAATAATAGATCTTATGTGTTATTACTTGGCTAATGAATTGAAATATTCTTGTTATGAATAACACCAGCAGTTTGTTTGTTTGTTTGTTTGTTTTTTAGCACACTCAGAAGAAGCCTCTAGTCGAACGGCACTCAGGAAATGAAGTTAGTGGTAATCTTTGTCCCCTACCCCTTCCAGCACAGGATGAGACTGAGGAAGAATTGTGCCCAGATTATGATATTGTGGAAGTTAAATGTGAACAAGTAAGAACTTCTATTTTAAGATGTCTTTTTATTACAGGATTTGTCTAAAAGGATAAAAATTTTTACATTATATGTATGCTTCAAGAGCATGCAGCTGATATTTAATAAATGTATTGAAAAAGTTGGAAAAAGGAAAAGTCAGTTAAATTGTACTGTCTCTTTCAAGACACAGTTCTGTCAACAGCTTATTTTAGAAGCTGTGTTTCCTGAGTAGGCATATTTTGGTAATTCTGGAAGAAAAATAATTTTCTAATGTAGCAGGATGTGTTTACTGAACTTGAAGATTGCACTTAATTCGTTTGATCAAACAATGAATTGTTTCTGTTTTGAAATTAGAGATATGTTCTTATCGGTATTTTCAGGACATAGAAGAAAATTCACAAATTGAGTTTTTAAAGAATCAGCTTGCGGATTTCCAGGAAAAGCTTCATAAGCTAGATTGGATGGAAGATAAGCTACAAATTTTAGAAGAGAAGCTGCAAGGAAAGGTGATCATAGATGAGAAGGACTGGAATAACTTACTGAATCGAGTTTTGCTTCTTGAAACAGAACTGTTGTTACAATCCAGAAAGGTGTGTTAACTTCTTGTTTAATTCTATAACAAAAATTATGCAAACACAATCTTGTTGGTCTGTTTCTGCCCTCCCTGCCTCCTGATGTGTTTTTTTCACTGGTTTTAAAGGTACAATCTGAATGCAAGTGCTGTTTATGAAGTTGATGAGGTTTTTTTCTTAACTGTTAAATTCTATTCTCGGAGCCTCTATGAACCAAAGCTCTCCATCTGTTCTCATTAGTAATCATTCAGTGTCATTTTATTTGCTACTAAAGTTATAGAAGAACGTTTTTGAACATGGAGTCTTCATTCTCTACAACAGACAGTGACAAAAATAGATGGCATGCACGGTGGAAAATACAGGGTTAATCAAAGAGTTATTTCTTATTTTAGTCCTATGTGTAATTTATGGGCCCTTGAAATTTCTAGTCTAATCAATGGGGTTTTTTCTCCTATTCCCACTCTCTTCCCCCACTTCTTGTTTTTTGTCAGTGATGTTCATTGCATTTTTGAATGTGTGAAAGCACTACAGTTGTGATGTGGCTACATTTGGCATAGCAAATAAAGCCTCTTGTTGCATTAAGATTGGGTTATTTTTCATGGTGTTGAAAGTTCCTTGTGTGCACATAATGTACTTTGATATATGTACACATGTAAATATTTTGAGTTGCAGTGAACCATAGCATCACTTTGAAGTTAGTCATGTGATCCAGAAATTTTATTCTCTCATGCATCTTGTGTATCCTTCGGATACTGTCAGATGCTTTCCAGAAGTTGAAAATCCTTGTGGAAAATAGTTGATGGATGTTGCATTTTTCTTTGCAGTTGTAAAACTGTTGAATTTATTCACAACCAGGAGCCCTGTACATTTTGCTGACCCCACAAATTTAAAAATGTTTCTAATACTTGTATGTTTGCTAGTACTTACATGTTTTACTTTGTGCCTTGCAACTGTGGTGGTTATGCAAATCTTGGAATAGACAGGTGTTCAGACTGATCACTAGGTTATTTCTAAAAGCTGTAGCTCAATTAATAAGGATAGATATTCTCAATCACTTAAAAAAAAAGTTTTAGGTCAGTAGTAGCTCCTGTGATTTTGCCATCTGAAATCAGATTCTTATGGATCAGTAGACATGTGTCCAAATAATACCACCAATGATAATGGTTTTTTTCTGGCAGCAGTCTCAAGAGGCCTTCAGGTGAACAGCCACAGACGGTTTTTCTCCTGTTTCAAATGTATTCTTTTCAAGAAATTACTGTAGTACATGGGAAAGCTCATAGCTTATGTTTCAGACTAGACTAGTTCTTTTGGTTTTTAAAATTTGGTTTATTACTGCTTCACTAACATGTTTATTGCAATTGTTCGTATGGTTGGAACAATATTTGGAAAATACTCTCAAAAAGTACTCAGAAATTTCCAGAGATAATTATATTTCTGTACTGTATGTTACTGAAAGAATTCACCTGCAGAAACAAGTTCAGTTATAGTTTCTGTGTGGCATTGTATATACAAATATATAAGACTGTATCTATATGTATACATAGTCTTCAAAGCTAACTGTTTTGCAATAGACATTTGAAAACTGCTAAGAAATAATCCTTTGGGCCACAGAATTGCTGCTTTTTTGTTTAATGAAATTGCATCCAAGTCGTGCTTCACACATACAGAAACAGTTCAGAATTACTGCTCTCTTACTCTTGCACTTTACAGGGAATTTTTGGCATCTAGCCAACATAGCAGGAACACTAAGATCTGTCTTTTGCTGTTGCCAGAGTAGCAGCAGCTGTGCATTTAAGCTCTGGGAAAGTGTGAAAGCTACCAAATCCATTTCAATGAAAGGAATTGAACAGACATAGTCTGTGCAGATTCTATTTTTGTATTTTTTAGAGATAGAGATTAATACAGTTTTTTTTTTTTCCAGCATTTTCCCATACAATACCTACTATTTCTCCTTCATTGATTTATTTGGTTGTAGTATTCCTCTGTTAGCTGATGCAGTTACTCCAGTATATAAAGTGACATATTTGAAAGGCTGCGATGTCAAATCATAATGATAACTCATTGGTAAAAAAAGTCTAGATGTTGTTTGAGTGTTGCATTTTTTACAAAAAACTATTGTTTCCTTGTTTATGAACAACCTTTTTAAAGTTAGATCAAGTTAAACTGAGAATGTTTCTTTAAAGAGCCCTCTCTCATTTAGGAGCCTGGGAAACAAGCTTAAAATAGTCTTCTGGGTTCTAAGCACTTAGGTGCAATGAATTTCAGTTAGTCTATAGGCTATTTTTCTAGGACTGAGGACTGTATTTTTGAATATCAACCAGCAGTAGAAGAAGGCACACTTACTTTAAGCTAATGGCAACCAGCGTTGAGATGAAATGATTAGTAAAGGCTAAGAACATTCTGATTGTCCATTCTACTCATAAATGAGTTGTATGGACTGTATTTTGGCCTGGTTTCAACCTCTTCATGAACAGCAATATTGATATTTAAAAAAAAAGCCATTAAATAGACTAGTTTTTTGACAAAGTGCATTTATGGAAATGTTGAATTTTTTTAGTCCTGTGAAGATGTTGGTGCAGTGCCAGCATATCTGGATGGTGTAGCAAGCAAATACATACATACCTAGTACTTACATATACTTTTGTTCATTCAGAAGGTGATTTAAACAGGGTGTATGCCTAAAATGCAGTAAACTTGTATTTCAGAGAGACTTACCTAAAGACTTCAGCAATATAAATCAAAAAAGAACTTCTAGTAGCATTCCAGTTTCTTTTGGTGAGTATTAATGATTTTCCTTTTTAATGTAAATATGCTAAAAACTTCTTATTGACCTTGACTAAAATAGTTTAAGTAGGTAACTGCAATTTAATCACCTCTGAATTTAAAACCATACTGCAGATTAGAAGTTAACCTCCTCATAATTTCATGTTTCTAACTTATTCTTTAGATGATTTAGTTACTATAGCATAGTAAATAATAGTTTAAAATAGCTACTAAAAATATCAAAGATGCAACTTTAATTAAGGTTCTGTTACTAAAGCTATGAATAACAATACTGTCATCTGGACTTCAAAGCAGTTATCATGTTTTAAAAATGCACTGTTCTCAAGCACAAATGGAGTTATTTTTGCTGCCACTAATATCTTTTAGGTTGCTGTTTTCTTTTTTAATGGGGCTCAGACAAATCATGATTCATAATCTTTGTTGGTTTTGAACTCACTGCTGAATGTTTTCTGTATTTCATCTCTGAAGCAGTTAGCAGCTGTCCAACTGGCATTTTTGATAAATTTTCTTGTTTTGAAGCAAAAGTCAAAATCTTTTTCTTCCATTTCCAACTTCTGCTTAATTTTGATAATCTACAAGAAGTAAATTAAGCAAATTTGAGTGGGAAAGAAGTTAAAAGCACTGCTCAGGCCATGAGTAATTCTTCTGTCTTCCTCAATGGTAGCTCTTTAGCCCTTAGCTCTATTAGCTCCCTCTGTTCTCTTCCTTGATTTGGCCTGTTTCCCTTGTGGCAGCTGTTATTCCTACCACCAGTGGTAAGGAGGATATTCTATTTTCCATTCTCACATATTAGGCTTTTTTGTCCAGTGTTGGGCTTTTGAATTGTAATTAAAAAGGAGACACAGTAATCCAGTTTCCATGGAAATTAGGAAGGCAGTTCTTGGTTATATCAAAGCTTGTTTTTATCGTGGAGTCTCAGAAAAAGGACCTTCATTTTACAGGACTCAGAAAGCTTGCAACATATTTACTTCCTGTGATAAGTTTAGTGGTGTGTTACTGATACTTGAGGACTTCGCAATAAGTAAACAGGCAGATGGTTTTTGAAAGAGAATTTTCAGACTCCCCAATTCTGAATTTGTTATTTCTGCTTTCCTAAAATTCAGAAAAAAGGTATGAGGACTCTTTTATGTGAGAGTATAGTACTTGGAATCCCTTCAGGCTCTTTGTGGTTGTAGCACTCTTCAGAAATCACAGCTGTACCAAATAAAAAATTTTTAATTTTAGGTATTTTAAAATGGTTTAATATGAATTTTAGATACAAAATAATGTAGCTACGTTTGGTCCAAAGGTATGATATATAGATGGTGACTTTACTAAAAAATGGGTATGGCAACATGTGTTTTTTCAAGATACTAAGTTCTCTTCCCTGACAATAATAATCTAAAATTGCAAAGGAGATCACAGCCTTCCAAATGAAAAAAAAAAAAAAAAAAAGACAAAAATTCTGCTATTTAGAAGACAGCTTACTTAGCACAAATTGAAGACATGTTTGATGTGAACATGGCTGTTCACAATAAAAATAATGTAAACTGTATGAAATTACTATTAAATGCTTGGCACTGTAATCAGATCTTCATAAGTTTTGGTTTTACTCTAATTAGGAGCAAATAATCTTCGTAGTCATCTTTGGAATTTGCTTTTTGTATATTAAATATATTATACATAGTGTCATATTGCACTTGTTTTAAAAAAAATGAGAAGCCTATTTTGGACTCTCATAGTAGCTTTTTCTTTCCCTTCTCTAAACAATGCATTCTCTTCTGGTATTGCCTACTGTAAATCAAGTTATTTGATAGCTGACCTTGCAAAAGAGAGCAAAAAGGCAAAGGTGACATAAAACTGAGCATTTCTCTATAGATACAGAGAGGAATGAGGAGATGCCAGAAAGTCATCTTCAGTCGTCTGGATGCAGTTCACTGTTACCCACAGACCAGTCTCCCAAAGACATGACCATTAATTCTCATGATCTGACAGACATTTCAAAGGTAAGTAAAGCTGGTGAATGCTCGGTTGATTTCCTTTGAGGTCAAGAGAACAAGTAAGCATTGGTTTTAGTTGTATATACTGATAGAAAAACAAGGAAACTATGCAAAACTACGTCTAGATCTGTTTCTTAAAAATACTTCTCATATGTAAACAGTGCTAAAGTCACATTTTCTCTGAATTGAAATTGAAAGTTCATCTGAAGAATGTAAGCTTTGAAGAGTTCACTAACTATGTTGCTTTTAAATTGTAGGAGACAATAAGACAAAGAATGGAAAAGATAAGTAAAATGTAAGTAATAGGAAAGGGCAACAGGAATTTATTTCCCAGGAGGGAGTTGTACTGGACTAAGGCACACAGAGAATGTACATATGTGTTCCAAACCTCAAAGGTCTCTGCATCAGGTGTGGCATTTCCTTATGGCTCTACTGGATAATAAATCCACTTACAATTTTGTATTTGTGGGATGAGTCACTGTTTTGGTTTTTAAAAAGCAATAGAAAGCACTCTTAAGAGTGTTAACTAGAGATTAAAGAGTGTTTAGAATTTGGTTGATAAAAATAGGAATATTATTTATTTCCTGATTGAAATTCCCTGGTGCTTGCAATTTTTCTTCCTGAAAAATACCTGTTATCTTAACTGTTTTTTTATTATTTAAGGAAAAGTAAAACTAATTTCAGCCTAAGCATTATAATAACTATATTAAGATGTATTTGATATTAATTCTGAGATCTAGAATAACATTTTTTGCTATATTTTTATTATACTTGAAGAGAAATGTGTTGCTTTACTGTGTTTCTCTAGCAAGAGATTTCTCTAAGTGTGTGGCCTATAAAAAGCTCTAGCCTTTTCTGTGATTTTAATTTTATTGTGTGGGTTACTTCTTTTTTTGTCTGCTTGAGGTTTATTGATATATGGTAGGCATTTAAAATAGAAAACAATTGCAGAGGAAAAGGGAGGGATGAGAGAAAACGTATGGGGTCAGGCTGCTTATTAGTATTTTGAATAATTAGGGAGTTAAAATCTAGTCAATTATTTTGTACCCTATTTTATTAAGTGTATGTAAACAAAATTTATTTTTAGAATTGAAGAAACCTTCAAATTGTTCAAAACACCAAGCCCACCTCTGGGAATACCTGGAAGCACAGGTCTTCAGACCTGGTCTCTGCAGACCTACGGATACCCGAAATAATCTGTATGTTTATACAGCGTTCAATTCTTAATATATTGGATTTGTAATGATCACCAGTGCTTTTATTGCCTTGAATAAATATTTTACTCATGCATCTGTGTATTGATTTCCCTCCCCACGATCACAATTTTTGGTTTTCAAGACTGTTCAAATAGCTTCTTCCCCCCTCCTTGCACTTTTGTAAATTGAAGTCATTACAGCAGTGTATTCTTGTGTTGACATTTGTTAGCAGTGTGCTAAGTAATATGTTTTTTAAAGTGTGGGCTTGAGGACTGTGGTTTACATCCTGTTGGAAACATTCCAGCTGGAGCTTGCATATTACACCCAAGAGGCATTCTTACATACCATCTTACCATCTGTACTGTTGAATAAGTCTTAATAAAAAACTTACATACACAGTTTCAAATACGTACCTTTTTTGCTGGATTTTTAAATATAAGTTTTCATGCTGAGCTGGAGAGCGCCAACACTTTATGGCTTCCATTAACACTGACAAAGTGAGGGTCAGTTTGATCCTAAACACAAAAATGTGCAAGGAACTCCACAGACTTTGACTGCAAGAGATGTGTTGAGTGTTTTAGTGCTCTTACCCAACACATTTTAAGACCAGCAGCACAGATGGAGACCAGTCAGTATACAAAGAAACACAACATTTTCATTATTTGAAGCCATATTAATATTTCTGTTTAGAGACATAAGTAGATGTAAGACTTCCATAAACATATGATCAAACCAAAGATGTGTGAGACTTGATTAGATTTATTTAATTGTTTATTGCTTTTTATAAATTGGTAGCCTGTCATATCAAGGTTCCTTTGTGTTTTAATACTTCACTTTAAAAGATTTTTGGAGTTTAATATTACAGACCAATCGGAATTTTTCGGGGGGCAAAGTTTGCAGATGAAGGTAAAAGCAGCTGTTTAACATGCTGTAAAAAGTGATTTCTATGTTTTACAATAATTATGATTTTTTTTTTCTATAACCATATGGAATATAAATTTATTTTGCACAGAAACAGAAGAGCTTGCGGCAATCTGTTGCGTTATATAAACTAGTTCTGGGGTTTTTAGACTTCTGTGATTGGACTTACTTTTTCAGTTGTTTAAAAATAAAAGAACCTATAAAGATTGGATCGTAGGAATGTGTTTTGCTCCTTAATTGAAAATAGGCCTTGCAAATCACTGTTCTTTATTCTATCAATGAAATGAAATGAGGTTTCCATCTAAATGTTAGAACAATTAATGTCTTAAAATAAGACTGCAGCACCATCTTGTGGAAATCTTTATAAAGTCATCCAAGAAGTAAAAATTAATATTTCTGTCTGCTTTAAGTCACTATGATCAAATATTTTGAATAATCTCTCTCTTAATTTTCCTCTTTGCCTTGAAGTCAAAGATGCTTTTATGTTCAGTGAGATGTTTTTTCTCTGTGATATTTGATAAAGTTTATGGCAGGAATAAGAGGAATGACTTGTTTATTGATGTCATGGCAAAAATGAGAAGTGTTAGTATACTTGATTCAAGTTACAGAGACTTATCATTGAATGCATTTGGGGAATGCATCAAGTGTTAGAAAAAGCTCTTTCTCTGTGTGTGCAATTCAATATCATCTCTATTTAGTGCTATAAAATTGAAAATCCTAAGTTGTTCAATTATTTACTTCTTCCAGCAACACACATAGTAGTGAAAAGCTAAAATCAAGGATAAAGACAAACTGAAGTTTGAGCAGTGCATTATTGTCTTGCAAAGGCTAATTTTTCTGGAGAAATGGAAGATAATCAAAGTATATTAGAAACTACTAATTGTGGGAATTATTTAGTTACTTTGTAGAACAGATGCTTAAAATTCTTTAGTAATCACTAGTGAACAGGTCTTGAAACAGCCTTTTTCTATCAACTACTTGTTTTGACAAGTTAGGCATCATTGCAAGCAGTTGCAGTTGTAATGTATTCCACCTTAAAATTATTTATTTGCTAATTATTTACAGTTATCTTTTCAAACACTTTATGCCACGTATAGTTTCTGTTCAGTTTTTTTTCTTTTTTAGGATCTTTTTTAACTCTGTGTGGTGAAAATAACTTACAATCCTCAGACAGCAAATTATCCTTCCTCAGGAAAAGTATTATATCTGCAGAAATGGTTATAAAATGATACTATTTTGCCTCTGCGATCTGTGAGCAGATTTCTGTGTGATAGAGATCTGTGTTGTGGTCTTTGTAGGATACTGGGGATGATGCACTCGTGTCACCTATGCCAGATGAGCAGTCAATACAAGGATAGTAGTTAAAACACTTTTAACTTGAGTGACCCAAATGGGGAAAAGAAGTTGTTCCCCAACTGTGATATTCCTTCCCCTGAGCATCCTATGGCTTATTTAATGAGGAGTAGTAAAGTTGGTATCTCTGTTTAGGCAATGTGACCTTATCTGATAGAAAAAAGCTGTATCAGTCATTGCAAAACTCATTCTCTTTAGGCAATCTAGAGCAGATGCTTGATTTGGAAGTGGTGAAGCTTTTTATTCTCCAAGAGCAAACTGCTCTAGTTACAGGTTCACAACAATTAGCAGTAGTGTGGAGCACTGATGTTCTAATGCAGCATTGTGTGTTGGTTTTCCTCTCCCCATTCCCTATGCAGTTATTTTAAAGAAAACTTATGCTGTAAAGCAAAATCACTTGATAAACTCAAAATCAACAGAAATATAATTTTTCCAGTGTTAGGTTTATAAAGATAAATTTTTAGCATAAGCAATGTCAAAGAATATTATGCCTCAGGGTATTTTAATCAAAGGTGAAATTCTGTTTCTAAAACATACTGCTAGGTCTTCATAAACTTTCACACTTGCGTGTCTGTTCTCTTACCTGGTGCTGCTGCACTGCATTGAGTGCATGTTGAAATATGAACTGGGATTAAGAGTTAGAGAGCCTTGAATACTTTCCATGAATGCTGAGAATAGTTTCACAAAGCTGAAGTTTTTGGCAGCTTAAGGGATTTCCTCCCAGTGCTGATCATTCCCATCTGTCTGTGTTATCAACTGTGTTTTGTAACTGATGTGACTTAAATATACCCTTCTGAAAATAAATAGTGAGGGGGTATTGGTTATATTTTTTTGGGTGGTCTTGTTTTTAGGGTTTTTTTTCTCATTTACATCAGCTCTGTGATCAGCTTATGACATTGCATCCAAATGTTTGTGCCTGAACTTTCAGTTGGAGCAGCCTGCTATGCTGTCAGCAAGTAACTGTGCAAGAGGAGAGATAATGGATCAAGTTGGTGTTTTACTGCTGAAAGATATCTTTCTCTTGAGTCTGCAGAGCAGTAGAAGGGAAGAAGTTCCTGTGCAAAGTCCCAGTGTACATATTCATGAAAGCTTGTTTAGTGTATTTTTGAATTGATTGAAAGAGCAAATGTGTGTCTGAAACAAACATGGAAAATAGGATTTAAGGAAATCTAAATCTACAATTTGGAATTGGGTCAGTTTTCAGGAGCTGAAATAGCTCTGTTTAATACACGTGCTTTTGTTTTCTGTTTTTTTTTTCCCCTTGGCCAGTTTTCTTGGATTTAGAGGCATATTTTTCATATGTTCAAAAATACCTGAAAAACTCAACCCGTTCTTTGCTGTGTAAAATGACCATAAAATATACAGGCAAATACAAACCCAATCCTTGGGGAACATTCTTTGTAATCTTTTGTATTGAGGAATAAATATGTAGGACTATGTAACACATTTAAAATATTTCACATAGGCAATCACTGTATTTATAAAAATAAGAAACATATTCTCCTTACAACCTTAGTTTAACTGTAGTGATAAACTAGGCAATATAGTTCATGGATTTTGAAGCATTTCATTGCTATCAATATAAGCAAGTTTCAATATGCAGGAAGACTCGTCATTTATTTCTAGCAGTGTGTGTTCATTTGCTCCACAGGTGATCTAATAGAATGTAAGCACTACACCTTTCCCGTCATGCTGACTGATGGTCTGGAATTGCATAGTCTTTGTCCCTGTATTGTTGCATAAGACACTGATAGTAATTTCTTTGCCTGCTTACTCCAACTGCAAAATTAAGAGATTCCCCTTGTTTTTCTCTTGGGTATGATGTGTTTTGGTTCATTGTTTATGCCCACTTTAAGAATTACTGAGGAAAAAAGCCAATGGAAAAAAATTTCTTGTAATTGAAACCATCCCATTGGAACCTATTGAAGGAACTAAGGATAAGTTCATGAACTTGAGCTTATGTATTAGTGGTAACTGAGGGTCCACCTCCTTGTAGTTACAAAAGTGGTTGACAGCTGTGATAATTTCAGTTAAAATAGGTGTGCTTTTGTGTGAACTACAGAAAAATAGGTGCTGATATGGCAGAAGATTACTAGCCTGAACGCTTTATCAAGTTGCATTTTAAGCTGAGGTATAATTTAAGATCAGCGACTCAATTTTTTTTTTTTTTTGTAGGTTTTTTCTTGTATTACTGTTGGAACATTTCTGTATTCTTCTTATACTTAGCCTTTTCATGAAGATAATCCAGCAAACAATATATTATTTTAAGTATTTTGTGATTGAATGTCATAATCAAAACATAAATATTTTTGTTTGAAACTGACTTGGACTGTGTTGATGCACTGATCATAAGTTGTCTTGGATATAAAATATACAGAGGGAAGGGATACAATAGTTACGTTATTTTAGAAAAATTACCTTTTGTTCTTTCCAGGCTAGTGATTGAGAAGGCACTGAGATTAATGTTATTTCTTTGTTCTTTTAAAGGCTTCAGCCTTAAGTGAAAGTATTTTTGTTACAGGAATGTCTTTGATAAGTGTTTGGATTTTAAGTGAGTTTTATGATGGTTTTGCCCTCATTTTAAAGATTGACATAAATATGTGCTAGTAGTAAGAACAAGCAGCACCAGTGATCTGTAGGTGTTCTGGGTTCTAGTAGAGTTTGTGAGCTTTGCTGTACAGGTATAGTTTCTTGCTTAAGGAGAGAAGTTGTCCTGAGTAAAGAGCAAACTAAAGTCCTCATAGAGGTGAGGCCTTGAAATATCAAAACCCAGAATATGGAGAACTTTCCTCTTATTGAAGTAAGGTCCATAGGAAAT